CTTTTAGCTTTAAAGAGAGAGGCTAGATCCAGTTGTGTGTGTTTCAGTTTGTGATTTAGTAGATAATTTTTAGTTCCTGTTTGGGGAAAGAAATTAATATATTACAATCTGTTCTGGGCTAAACTTCCTTTTTATTGGATTTCAGTCTCAAGTTTGGAGCAGTGTCGTTTGGTTCAGTGAGAAGATATGTCATCCTCACCAACTTGCACTTATCTAGAACTTCATTAGTGCACTTCTATTTTGTGTGTCTGTTCTCTTTATTTTAAGGCTGTTTAATTTTGAAAGGAATGCAGACAATTTGCTTATCTGTGTGTTTAATATACTTTTTAAAACCCCTTCTATTCTACTAGCCCTTTGATTTCCCTGGAAAAAGCATAGTTTCAGTTGAGTGCATGTTGTAATAATATCCTCATTTGCATGAAGCATATTTTTAATCATGTACTAGTAACAAAAGCAGTGTGCTTTGTATAAAATTTTTAAAATCCTTAACTAATAATCTTACCTTATTTGACATATATTTAACCTGCAGGGAAAGGGCAGCCACTCATTTGCAGTTTTAAGTGGTAGGGCAAGCTGAATCAGTATAATTCGAAATGCTTAATAGATGGCAAATCAGAAACATAAGCCAGAGGCTAAGATCTGTACTTTTGTGCCTTTTCCATTAGTTCTTATATGTATATGTGATGTGTGTTTGGATTCCTGAAAAAGGCCTTTCCAGAAAAAAATGGGGGTCAAAATCTGATATCCAAAATGCATACCTTTAATTCATAAAAAAAGAGGTGGTGGTCTGTATTTACTCAGGGTGTAAGTGTAATAATTCTAGAAAAAACTGAACACGTTGATTGCCTGTGGTCCATTCAAGCCTGATGTACAGAGAGGAGGCCAATGTTTTAATGGGAGGGGAGACTGTGATAAGCCTTTTAGTTCTTCTCACATCACTGACCTGGCAAAGGGAACACTTCAGTATGATCACAAGCACATGCGCTTGTTGGTTCCGTGGCATGTGTACATTTGGTTATTCGTTGACAATAAATTTGCTGGCAGGCATTTAAAATGCTGACTATGTAGCATGCAAACCAGCAATAGTTTGTAGGTGTAGTAGCAGCTAAAGAGAGTCTTTTAAAATCCTTTCTTTTTACAAGTTGCGTTATTCAGATTTAATGCAGTTGTCAACAGTAATTATTGATTCATCTTGAACTAGGTATAAAATCGTGCCTTTGGTTCTATTTGCATAATTAAGGACACAAGATGCTTAAGTGACTTGTGTTGTCTGTTGTTGACATCCTTTTAGGGGATACCCACCATACCTGGAGGTGCACAGAGGGGAACACGTTGGTGTAGCTGTGCAAGTGGAAAGTTACGCCAGGGTTAGTAAGTCCTGTCTGTCAGTGCACACACTCAAGAACACCACTGTGTGTGCAGCCACGTAGCTTTGAGACTGGAGCAGCCTCTGGTGACCTTGAACACAAAGCAAACACAATTTTCATAAACTTGGGTGTTAGTTGTGGTTTGGCATCTGGCTTAAGGGAGTAGTAACTATGCAAGGGCTACCAGTATCATTACAAACAGTGTGAAACTTGGAAAAAAATCTGACAATTTGCCTGTACTTAACAGGTCTTAGAATTAGGTTTAACAACACTGAGAAACACCTATCTTGTTTAGTGCAACTGTTTGTTGAAGCAAGGATTTTAAAGAATTTATCAAATATTGCTGGTGTCAACAGTGTAGTATTACAAAACATTTCTTCAAAAAAAACCACAGCATTTTCTAAGAGCAGATTTAATACCTTCTCTATCTTGTGCTGAATAAAGATGCTTAAAAGAACTGTTTGCAGTTATTTTGCTGAAGAATGGGAGTTTTCAGCAGTTGTTCTAAATCTTCTGTTCTACAGCTGCAAATGTAAAGAACATATAAGATTGGCTTAGCATACGTGAATGGAAGGGTGCAGTTGTCTAGCTCTCTGTATGACTAATAAGTATGTGTTACCAGTAATAGTGGAAAGGGTTAGTTTCCTGATTGACTTTCAGAGAATATTAACCGTGTTTCCTCTTGTTTTTAATAGCTGTAGCAATTGTATGGATAACAAAACTTTTTAGGTATTTTTGATTATGTTAATCAAGTGAAATTTGTTTCACTGAACTTTTACTTAACTTGAGATGATACTTGAAGTGGAAAACAAATTATTGTGGTTGTGTTTTAATTAAATTACTAATTTGTATGTAAACTCAAAGCACTAACTTTGGCAGGTCTATGGTGAAACATGGTATTGAAACCTGACAGGTTTAGGAATTTGCTTCTTCATGTGCAAAAGGAAAGTTGCCAGATTTTTTTCTTTGGTATTGGCAGACATGAAGCTTTTAGTATTGTGTTGATGCTTGCAGAGCATTACTAATTATAAAAAGCAGTTGAGCAGCCTTTGTTTAGTTCTGGAAAGCTGTCTGACTTAAGTGTTAAATGATTTAAACAGTTCTGTAGAAGAATCTGCTTTTCCAAAACTGTTACTGGTTTGCATTGTTCGCTGCAAAATTTAACAGTAGGGAAATGTTTCATGGTATGACTTTAAGATGATTAATAGAAAGATCTGCCTTTGAAATAAGAATGCTGTTGACATACTATTTATTTTGAAACCATGTCTTCAATACATAGGCTTCTTTCCACTTTGTTTCATTCATATGTTGTGCCTTCTAGTTCCAGGAAGTCCCTAGTTGAAGATTTACTCTATTAGAACAGTTGGATTTTCTCTCCATAGTTCACTATTTATTTTTCCTTTTAAAAAACACAAAAGCTTTTTGTTCCTTGGTTTGTGTAAGACAGCAGTGTATAACTCACTTCTGTAAAAATAAGAATGTTATGTTGGTGGAGTTGGTGAAACTTACATGAAATTCCTTTGATGGCTTTTATTACACAATTTTGGACCAGAGATGGTTTACACTTCGGGGGTTTTTGTGACAGTAGGGCTTCTTCTTTACACAGCAAAGCCACCTAACAGACTCATTAATAGAACATCAGTAATTACAAGAATTCTTATTTCCCACATTTTGTTTAGTAGAGCATAGCTGGATCATTTCACTATCTTCTCTTTTTACACTAACACAGATGGTTTTTCAAAAGTGTAGAAAAATGTTTCTTAAAGTTAGGATTAATAAATGCTCTGAAATTTTAATTTTTTTTTCTCAATTTGCATATGAATACTTGAAAATTGCCATTAAAATTGTAGACTATATAGTACAAATCAGTTCAATGATTTAGCTCCTGTGTTGCCCAAGAACCCTACTGGGGTTTAAATGTGATACATTTTGGTGAGTGACAGATAAGCATTGTATGTCCTGAATAGCTCTCCAAGAATTGGTGAATAAGTGTGCTAGACACTTCTAAGCACATAGAGGAGAAGGACAAATGTTGTGGTGATAACCAATACTTTTATCACTACATAATGTGCAACTGCAAGCTGTTTGAAGGGATTTTTGTTTAGGAGATTGAAGATCATGATCCTTCCATTTATTTAGTTTAGCTGAACAGTGGCAGCCTGCTTTGCAAACAAAAAGTAGAATTGAGTGTATTCTTTACATATCAATTAGTAAAGTATATATAGTTTTTATAAAACTTAGTCCCTTTTCCCTTTTATTGTTTTATACCAACAACTTTATCAACATAACTATCTTTAAAAGCACTTCGAAATAAATGCCAAGTCAACAACGCATAACTGGTTTTCAGGGTGTAAAATGCATTTTTTTTTTTTTTCCCCCCTACCTAAATTTTCAGGAGTTTTGAAAAGCTTTATATAGGGGCCAAGTTCAGTCCTTTCTGTCGAACTTACAATCTGGTCTTGACTTAACAATATCAGCAGGGGACACTCAGTTTGGTAGACATTAGGAAAATGTGTAGTTTTTGTTAGAGAAAATACATTTTTTTTTTTCCTCTTCACTTTCATCCATATATTTGGTATACAATTGTATGTGAAATAGCAAAAGTGTTTCCAACACTATGCTTCTACACTTCTATGTGAATTTAAGTGTACCAGTCTGAACTATGTTCTCTTGTCCTTTTATTTCCCCATTTTTGATTTAGCACTGTTAGGAGGGATGGTGTTCAGAAGAAAGAACCGAAGCAAAAATCATAATACAAATGTATACTAAAATGAACAGGTTCACAATCTACAAATGCTATGATATTCTAGGACACTTATACCCTGAAATATTCTTGTAGTTGAGGTGGTAATCTTTTGTGGCTAGGTATTGTCTGACCATAGTGTGTCTTATGTGTTGATTGCCAGCATTTTTTTTTTTTTTTAATAGAAGTAAAATCTTTCTGTATAACAAGGTATTCATGGTCCTATCTTTGATGTTTAGCATGCATTTGATATATGGGTAGAGTTTTGAGATGATAGATAGAAGTGCCATACAGGTATAAAAGAAATTTTAAAAGTCAAATACCCTCTCTAAATCTAAGCAGTTTGCTAATATACATTTGCAGGAATATTAAGAATGACAGTGCTGACAAACTTCTTCATAAACCAACCACAATTCCAGCACTTCTACTAAAATGTTTTACAGATGCTAAGCATCTAGCCTGGAAATCAGATGTGTACTGTTCCCACTTCACAGAGGGCAAACCCCAGGCAGAGGGATTGGTTTCGCTCCATGCCTGTAGGGCATCTGTGCCAGTAGGAAGTAGAGCAGGCTTGTCCTTGACAGTCAAGGTGAACAGGGGAGAAACAAACATACTGTGCCTGTTGTTTTACTGTTATGTTGGGTTTACCTGCTGCTGGAAGTGTTGCACAAAGTGGAAGGTTTATGTTGTGATGCTGCCAAATTGGATGGCTCACAGGCTATATAGCATTTGTCAAATCCCCGTGATGTTCCTGAGATGACCCATAGTGATGCAAATCATTCTGCTTGTTCAGACTATTACAAGTTGATATAAAGGGAAAAAAAAAAATTACACCCTCGTTACTTTTGCTTCTTATTCCTACTTTTCTGTTTACTGTATTTTATTTATAGGTGTTGATTTTAAAATCAAAACAGTAGAGCTAAGAGGAAAGAAAATTAGATTACAAATCTGGTAAGTAAAACAAATGTGCAACCAGCAGTATGTTTTAATTTTTATGTTCTAGCATGAATTAATATGCTTGTCTAATACTATTAACTGTTATAAGCTGGTTTAGCTCTTTCTGTATTCTTCCTCTCCTCAGTTCCCACAAGACTTCAGCAAAACCAAATAGCTCTTAGACTTTTTTTGTGAGGGTAAAGGAGGAGAAGGAGAGAAAAGTTAGAAATAGGACATAAATGTAATTACTGAAATGTTAATGAATCACAGAGGTCTCAAGCCCTTTTCCTAGAAGGATGGTATCACCTACACAAGAAAAAGAATAGGAGTTCTACAAACAAAGAAAGGTGACTGTGTTAAATAGACACTAGAGAAAGTACATTTTGTTTTTTTATTTTCTGGACTGTTTAAAACTGAGCTTTATTGCAATGGCAATTATAAAACAACTGTGAAGTATTTTCTAAACTGTTTTAATAAAACTTGGTGTCGGAAGTGCTGTTTCTTTGACACTATATTAAATAACTTTAAAGTGAAGTGCATTCAAGACTAAGTAAATTATATCCACTCTAAACAGCACTGAGAAGTAAAATGATCCCATGCAGATAAGACTCTATACCTTAACTGGTACCGATGTTCTACTACAGAAAGCTCAAAATCTGAGCTAAGCTTTTCCTTTCTGGAGTAGGTTACATGTTTCCTGACAATGATTCTCCATGTCAATGATTAATACAGTTTTTATTGTTTAGAAATTATTGAGCTTAAGAGCTCCTTCGTTTTACAGAGTAGTACAATACATAAACATTGTTATGAGAGAATAAACCAGCTATGTTCTATACATTAATCTTATATACTACTTTGTAGAAGCTTAACTTTGGTTTATTAACAGTGCGTGATGCATAATTGGCATTGTAGTTAAACTGTTAGAGCTGCTAACAATCCATAAAGGGGAAATATAGCTCTAAATATACTCGTTGTTACACTTTGGGGATATTCTGGTGGTTTCTCATTCTTAACTACATGGATGCAGTGAATTCAGCTTACTAACTCCTCTTGGCAGGTCACCATCAACTCTGTTTGTCACACCATGTGTCTGTCTTGCTTCCCTCTGAGTTAACTGCTGCTTCATCTTTGGTATCATCAGTCACCTAACACTTGAATGTTAGTGGCATGTCTTCATCCATCATCTGTCCCTGTTTGGAAACCTGTGACCACAAGGCTGGCAGTTGAGCCAGCAGTTAGCCAGGGTCTGCTGGAGCTGACAGAGGTAACAAAAAATTCTGATATGGAGATGCTACTGTACACCTGATACGAATTCTTGCTATGAAATATGCTAAGCTTATCAAACAATTTGTTCATGTTGAATAAATACTTTATATGAGAGACTTTTGTTGGAAAAGAGATGTTTAAACCATTATTTTCCACATATTGAGAATATGCTAGTAGGATATAGGAAACTTTAAAACTAAAAATTGGTAGGTTGCTCAAGTGGGACTGTCACTCCTGTGTGAAGCCCTTCTAAAATGGTGGAGAAACCACAATGTAAATAGATAATATTTTTATAATAATATGATAAAATCCATGAGCACAACATCCTGCTCTGAAGTGTCACTTCTCTCCAACACTGGGTGTTAAAATGCTGCTGTTATACTTAGTCATTAAAACTGTCTTGGTATACTTCTAATTTTTTGGAAAAGCAATTTGATAAGCACTCCTTTTGCTAATTTATCCTGAATTATGTTGTGTATGTTGGGCCTATTTATAAACTCTTATTGTCATAGAATCACAGAATCATAGAATCATTTAGGTTGGAAAAGACCCTTAAGATCACTGAGTCCAACCATTAACCTAACACTGCCAAATCCACCACTAAACCATGTCCCTAAGTGCCACATCTTCATGCCTTCTAAATGCCTCCAGGGATGGTGACTCAACCACTTCCTTGGGCAGCCTCTTTCAATGCTTGACAACGCTTTTAGTGAAGAAATTTCTCCAAATAGCCAATCTAAACCTCCTCTGGCACAACTTGAGGTGGTTTCCTCTCATCCTAATAATTTCTACTTGGGAAAAGAGAATGACACCCACCTCACCACAACCTCCTTTCAGGTAGCTGTAGAGGTCGATAAGGTCTCCCCTCAGCCTCCTTTTTTCCAGGCTAAACAGCCCCAGTTCCATCAGCTCCTTACTGTACTTTCAGTTGTTAGATTAAGAGAGGAAAACAATTCACCAAGTCAAACACTCAGAAGTTTAGAAATACAGACTTAAGTTGCATGGCTGATTCTAAGTCAGTCTCCTTTCATACCTACGTAGAGACAGAATTAAGGTTGCCTTATACTTCCTGGTAGTCTTATATACAATGATTAAAGTAACTTTACTACAAAAAATTGTTTTATTTGTTAAACAGATAATTTTTAAAGTTTATGCTTATCTGTTTTCTTAAAATGACTAAGGTTATGTTTAGAAGCATCAAAGTTTGATTATTTTTTTTAGTCATCTGATGATTTTACTTCAAAAATCAAGCAAGAATGGTTTAAAAAAAAAAAAGTCTAACTTTCATATTTTTATTGTCATTGGACTTGTCTCTCTACTGGCCATTCAATCAGCAGAGTGTTCTCCACAGAGCTCTACCACTTAAATTTATCAAAAACCAGCAGTACTGTGTTACATATATCAGGCAATTAGGTGTGCAGGATGTCCTTCTGAAGGCAGTTTTCGCACCTGCTGCTGTTAGCAGACTAGCATACAAACTGGGTTTGTCCCCCATATTCCTTTCACAATGGGATGCTGTGTGCTAAGGATCACAGAGGTGTCTGCTCTCGCCTCTAGCTTACCTGTTCTTAACTGGTCCCTGCTACCTCACAGTACCTCTTCCCTTATTTCCCTGACTTTCAGTCAGGAAACAAGCCCCTGCTCCTTTGACTATGAAATGGTAGAGCAGCACTGATGACACAGAGTAGTGTCCATCTTTTCTGTGCCACCTGGAACAGTAGTACTGCCCCTTGAGCAGCCAGAAGTAGTAGATACAGTAAATCTGGTTTTGCATTGCAGTTCTTGGCTGAAACAAGCTCGTATGTTCTGTGAGAAGGAATGCACGCATGCAGCTCAGGCTGTGGGGTGCAGTAACTAGAACTACTGGATAGTGTTTCTGAGTGAATCCGAGCATCTGTGAATCAGTGCTTTTTCAAAGCTTGAAAACTAGGCCAAAAAGTAGGATTTCCACGTTTATGCTTTGAAGCATAGGTGTGCCGGGAGTGGCTCGGCAGGACAGTAGGGTGTCTGACTCTGTCCTCCCACCTGAGTCATCTGGGTGCTCAGCTGACACAAGCAGCCGTCACTTCTGGCTTCCCCTCTGAAAGGACCTGGTTGCTGGAAGCTGTGATGCCCTGCCATTGTGCCCAGTTTCTTGCTGGAGAGCCAAAGGGACCCTCTGGAAATTCTACAGGCTTAATGCCCAAGGAAGGCAGTGACCTGGCAAAAAAAAAGCAGTCTCGATTTGCTGCTAAGGGTGGTTTAAATTGGTGCATTCTCGTAAAAAGTTCACATTCTGCCAGCTCAGTGTTTTTTAATGGGCAGTTGTTGTCTTGGAAATTCTCTGGGTTTAGGAGTAGTCTGAGGAAAAGATCACCTGTCCTAGAATATAACAGAAGGTAGTTTGTTCTCTTCACTACCTCTGAAATAAATTATTTTGTATAATAAAAGATCTTAAATATATTTGTGTTTTATGAGAGGAGAAAGCTCAGCTTGACAAGTAGAATTAACCTCTAAAATGACTTAAAACCACTTTTAAAAATATTATAAATTCCATAAAAGCACAGAGCATGTGAAAGTGTTAAATCAATGTTAAATTTTTTATGTTTAAAAATATTTTCCCTTCTATTGCCACTTTGCACTGCCAGTCATAAAAAATTAATTAAACTTCAGAGCCAAAGATAGTTTTGAGTCTGTGCATGTGTTTGCTTCAAGCAACAGTTTTAGATAGTCACAGAGAACATTTATGTAAAACAAAATTATCCAAACCTATTTTAATTAACATCAACTGTATTTGTATTGTATTTTATGCAGTCTGAAATAGTGAGAACATGACAAGTCAGCACTGGAAAATGGGCTTTTTGTGTTTTTTATTATTTGCTTTTGTTTGATGTAATGTTTGTTTGTATTTTTGGAGTGATGTCTAGTTTCTGTTTTGGAAGCAGAAAAACAGTCAAACAGTAGGATTTTATTATTGCAGATTATAGATGGTCAAGGCGTCATATGCTGTATGTTTCTGATTGCAATTTAGAAATATCAGTGTTTTTCCATTAGAGCAATCTCTTGGAAAAAAAAAATCAGTAAAAACCCCCTGATTTTAGCATTAAAAAAACAGTAATCTGTTGTATTTTTTAGTGATGCTAAATCATTGATAAGTTGTAGTAATTTATTATTTGGACTTCTGGAGTTTGAATTAAATTGAACTGACTTATTCTATTATTTTGATGCTGATCAGAGCAAATAAAGAACTAACAGCACTTAGTATCACTCATGAAATTCATGGAGTTGCGTACTGCTAGCCCAGTTAATAATGATCATCTCTTCTTCCTGCTTTCCACTAGTGCTTCAATAGCTATCCTCAGTAAAATACTCCAGCTGCAGGAGTGTAATACATCGATGAAAACAGTATAACAAACTCAATTGCTCCAGCAGCACACATGAAAGGAAGACATTTTAAGTTGAATATGCTTTTAATATTAGCTCTGCATTAGGGGGTTGTCTTTTCTTCCTCAGTATTGGAAGCATTTACTGCACATCTTAATGAAAAATAAGATAGCATGTGGTAGAAGATGAGATTTTCCATATGAAAGATCAATTTGATAGTCTTCTCAGACTGCAGCTTATTTAGGTAGTTTGGGGTTGCATTCTAAACCTACTAATTGCAGAAATAGTTTTCCAGCTTTCACCTTACTATTTGAAGGGTAGTACAATGTTAGTGTCAGCTTAGAGGCAGCAAATTCAGCTTATATTCTTCCACTTTTCAAAGGAAACGAGGATTAGGATATCATGCTTACAATCAGAAACCTGCTGACTGGTTTCAGTTAAACTCGCTGCAGCAGTAGAGGCATTGGTTGTGTGAAGTGCCGGGAAGTCAGTGACTTAAAGCAAGGCAAAGTCAGCCATAATCCACTGTAATTAGCGTGACTGGCAGGTGACAGTCAGTGGCCATCTGGCCATTTAACATAGCAGTGGGCAGCCAGGCTGTCCATGGATGTTTTAAACTGGCCACAGCATGTGATGTGTCTTGACTAACCAGCAAGCCAGACTACAAGTTGTGTGATATTTGGGTGAAAGACCTACACGAAGGGGAGCACAGGACCTGAGGGTCCAGCAGCAGAGAGGAGCAGCAGCCTGGGAATACAGTAAACTTTTAAAGACCCTGAGAGTGTTGTGGGGTGAGGAGAGGCTGATAACACCCAGGTAGACTTGGAGACACAGCACTCAGCAAAGGTAAATGCGGAGTTGAAGGTAGCTGGAGTGGTAGAGTGTAATGTTGCGTAGTTGCCTCCATTGTCTACCCCTAGGCTTATCCAATGTGTTGATAACTGTCTTCAGAGAGGGCAGGGAGGGTAGCTGAACACTGGTGTGTTTATTTCCCTTTGGTTTTCCTGATGCATGAACTGAGTGATGTGGTAGCCCCTCTGTGATGGAGTTGCTAAAGGTCCTCAGCACTGACCTGAAGGCACAGCCAGGTGACTGAAATAGCCCCTTTATTTCTGCATTTTGGTAGGGCCACAGAGAAGAGGGGGAAGACTGGCCAGCAAAAAAAAAAAAAACCAAAACAAAACAAAACAAAAAAAACCAAACCAAAACAAAAAAAAAAAAAAAAAAAAAACCAACAACAACAACCAAAAAAAGCCACACAACTTTTTCCATTATTCTGGCCAAAGCTAGAGTTGATGCGTTCTTCCACATCAGGTATGCCCTTCTACCTGCCATCTAGTTATGTCTTCTCGGAATGATGGAAGTAAAGGGATACCAACCTTAATATGCTCAATTGGTAGGCTGGATTAGCAACAGATGGCAGAGGCAGCTCTACAAGGTCATAATTCTGAGAAGTCTGTTCATAAGCACTAAAGCAATGTTATCCATATGTGGAAAATCAACGGTTCATACTAGAATTTTTGATTTTTTTCAAGGAGTGAACATCCAAAGGACCTTTCAAAAAACAAATCTGACCATTGCAAATAAGTAATGGAAGAGGGAAGAGAAAGTAGAGTTGATACTTATATATGTAATTTCAGCTGCTAGAACTTGTATTGCTTTAGTAAAAATGCCTCATTAGTGATAAGAAAGCAACCAATTAACCATCTAAAACTGGTCTGAAATACTACTAGAGCTGGACCTTATTGAAACAGGCTACCTGTTTTTACCTTCTGTAGAGTCTCAAGGGTTTGTACGAATGTAATTCTGAAGTTCTGAGTAGAGAATGGGATTTAAATAAAAATGAAATAAAAATGGATGCAATAGGAATTTGTTCTCTTCTGCCCCATACTGCACTGCCATTGGCTTGCAGTGAAGTATTAGTAAATATTTTTCCACAATCTATGAAACAGAGGTTTCAAATCTTTTTCTGGTGGACACTGCTTTACTTTGTGAAATCACTAGCAAAGATTTGTTGCTATCAAGTACACTTGTGGTGATTTCAGGAGGAAGTTAAATACTTCACTTTTAAACCTGCTTAGTTGAAATTCTTAAAGAGTTTGTGAAGAGCAAGACAGTTTGTGCTAGTTTATTCTACTACTTGTTGTGCATAGACTTTAAAAGAATTAATTCTTCAGGGCAATCGATGTGGCATTTTGTGAACATGACTTTTTTTTTGGTAACAAGTGTTTCGGGTCTCCATTGTTAATCTCATTCCCAAATTCATCCTTCTCCTCCTTTTGTCTAAAATGTGACTGTTGAAGGGAGTTCCTTTTGAACTGTTGAGTCCCAACACACACATGCACACAGGGTTTTTTCCCCATCCACTCTTAATTTTGGTCCGTCTTTTGACTTGCTCTAACAGTGGAATTTCATAATTATCCATTGACTCTGAGGGCAGAACTCAAGCAGCAAATGCTTGATTGCTTTGGAGCATATAACTTTCCAGTTGTGATAACAGTCACATTTTAAGACTTGGGGTACACACCAGCTATTTTTTCAGTATAACTGCCAAAAATCTTCCATAAGCAAGCTTGATGGTATAATTAAAAGCAGTTCACAGCTTTTCATGGTTCAGTAAAAATAACCCTTCTGTCTCATCCACTTTGGAATATAAGCCATAGCTAGTATGGGCAACATGGTGTCACTGCTGGAAAACAGTCTCCAGTGTAAAGGCACCCTGTCTGAAATATCTACAATGCTGAAAGTAAGAGTAGAAATGTTATCTGAACACCTCAGATTAATAGATGTAAGTGTTAAAGCCAGGTGTCTACTTTCAAAAGCTGTACCACATAGCAATTGCTCACTCTTTTCACTCACTTTTGCCAATAGCTTCTACATTAGTTTTAGAACCATGACTGAATTGCTGTGATTGATCCAAAAAGACTCTGAAAGCTCAAATCATAATGACCAGCACATTGCTCATTTTATAGTTGGGTGTCTGGCTGTGCTTGATAAGCATGTATCCATTTCTTTTTTCATTTTTTCAGGGCTGTTAAAAAAACAAACCAAAAAAACACAAACCTCAACAATACAAAACCAGCTTCATCTGCTGGTACATTTTCATTGAACAGCTTCATTCTCAGACACATGTAGAACTGTTTGGTGGCCTTTCTTGGTGAAGTTAGTATGGGATAAGTAGTCCTGATACAAAAACATTTTATGATAAAAGTACTACATTTTTTTTTTCCTGAAATTCTCACATATAGAAGAAAAAGTTCAATATAAAGTGTCTAATGAGTGTGGGGGTGTTTTTATTAAAATGTAGACAAAGTTATTATGTACTTTGCAAGTTGGTGAAATATTTGTGCCAATATTTGCTGCTGCTTCTTAGGGACACAGCAGGTCAGGAGAGATTCAACAGCATTACCTCAGCTTATTACAGAAGTGCCAAGGGAATTATTTTGGTGTATGATATCACCAAGAAGGAAACATTTGACGATTTACCAAAATGGATGAAAATGATTGATAAGGTAGGCCTTAAGTATTTTCTTTTTACATGTTTGTTTGTTTTTTTTTTTTTTAAAGAAGCAATTTTTATTCCTCAACAGTACTCTGTAAAAGTTTTACCAGCATTGATATAGGATTATTAAACTAATGCCGACTAATTTTCACTGGATTCTTTTAGCCAGAATTTAACATTAATGTGCTTTTGTTGCAAATTGTTGCCTACTCGTGCTTCCTTGAACTAGAATTGTGCCAGTTAGAAGTGTCAGTGGAAATCTGTAACATTACTCATTTACCAGTGCACTGGTGAGAAAAAAAAAAAGCTTTATTTTCTGTTTGTGAAATAAGGTCATTATGTTAATTCTTAGATAAACTGGAACAGCTATTTCTCAAGTCATATTTTAAAAATGGAATTTAAAAATTGAAGTTGAAAACATTTGAAATAATGTTTGGGAAGAATGTTTTCATATAAACTCTGTAGGTGTGGTTACTTATTTAGTAGAGGGATTGCCCTTTTTTAATATTGTGTTTGTATTACAAAATCTTACATTTCTAGGTTTAGTTAATTAAGAATGTTTTAATTGCAGTATGCTTCAGAAGATGCAGAGCTTCTATTAGTTGGAAATAAACTGGACTGTGAAGTTGATCGAGAGATTACTCGGCAGCAGGGAGAAAAGGTAAGAATGGGTCTAACCAAATTCTTAGTTACTGTTAGAAGCAAAACTGCTGTGGCGTTGCTGCTGATGGACTATGGCTACTCTTGTTCAGACTGTTAGACATAAGGAGCATATTGAGAGTGGTGGTGTTCTGTCAAAATCCATATGGTATTTACTTTTTATGGAATGTGCAGTTATATGCATTCCTGCTGGAGCGTTCTGTCTTTGATCTAAAGAAAGTAAACTGCAAGTTGGCTTACACTACATTGTAGTGCAGAGGATACTCCTTTTTGGGCTCTTAAAAAGGATAACTTGAAGGCTTGAATCACAAATGGTGATATCTTTACTCAGGACATCTTTGTGAGCCTTCTTACAGATGTTTGCTTTTTTAGTAGTATTTTAGGACAGACAGGAACCCTGCTTGGTTACTTGGCTCACCTTTGTTTTCATGTTTCTTTCGTTCTCTTCCAAGAGAATACATTTTAACATGACACTCATAGCACTGTCTTGATCAGGACACTATCAGTATGGACATACTCAAACATTTTCCTTCAGCTACCCATCATGTGTTTGGAAGTGAAGCATTTTTTGTTAGAGAGCCAAGGATGATTCTTACATCTGTACTTCCCTTTTCTTCATTTTAATAATAAGGTTGAGATTAACTGTTCTGAAAAGTTCTCACTTTTTGGCAATCTTCAGCAATCCGTGTCAACTGAATACACTAATTTAACAGATTTGAGTCTGGAAAAATGCAGCACACTTTTCCAGTAAACCAATTCTAAGTGAAATTTAGCTATATGTGGCAATATTTGCTGTACCTTGGAGATTCAGGATTACTAATTGAATTAGACTTCAGTCACAGATTTATGGAAAGTTGTGGGTGGTTTTTTTAAAGGTTTTATGAGCAGTGTATATTTGCTGGCTGTTTGTGTGTTTCTTCATGTAGTTATTTTATTTTCTCTTCCATCAGTTTGCACAGCAAATAACTGGGATGCGGTTCTGTGAAGCAAGTGCCAAGGATAATTTTAATGTGGATGAAATATTTCTAAAACTTGTTGATGACATTCTGAAAAAGGTAAAATATTCAGGTGGTAGTTCCTCTGACCACACAGATGGTCGATGTTTAAATAATAATGACTGCAGGTACTTGTTGAGAAGACATAGAGGGTGAGTGCACCCAGTCAGGTGAAATTTTTGGTTAATATGTAGTGGGCATGATGTAGTCCACAGACTCTGCTGAACACTTCACTTAATAAATAGTGCTGTTGAATTTGGTAAGTATCTGGTTTTGCCATACTTCCTCTTTCCTATAACTTCACTGTATATCAGCAGCTGACTGTACATTTGCCTGCTTTCATTTGTGGGCAGTTCTGTTGTGATTTGTTGTAATTGGCTTAGGAAGTGGCTTTATCTCAACAACATTTTGTAACTTTTTTCTGAAAGAAATTCTTAACACAACTTACTTGAATGTAGTTCACTAATAAGAACCAAAAGATCCTTAAACTGAGGCTTTGGCTGACAGTGAACTCTTAAAACGAGCTCTTTGTGCCGAGTTCTATGCAGATGACTGTTTACAGGTGATTTTTCTTTTCTTTAAGATGCCACTGGATGTTATAAGAAATGAGTTGTCCAACAGTATCCTGTCCCTGCAACCAGAGCCAGAAATCCCACCAGAACTGCCTCCTCCAAGGCCACATGTCCGTTGCTGTTGACTTGTTACTCCATACAGAGTGAAAAATAGGAGCAGGAGGGTAAAGAAAGTATCTGTACTACTCTGCACTACAATCATTTGGCAGTTTCTTGTTGCACTTTGTTATTCGAGTCAGAGCTACACACTAACTTGTAAATATGCAAATATGCAATCCTGTGTAGGATTCAGCTATAACATTTAATTATTACCCCTCTCCCTCACAATGATGAAATTCATTTCCCCAGTGTTATAAATACTGTACAGTTGGTGGGGGTTTACCACCCTTTCAGTCGAGGAGGAGGAGAAATTAAATCTATACCTATTCTTGACATAAATGTTGTAATAGTTCTTTGTTATTATAAACAGGCAGGCAGAAGCTCTTCTGGTATGAAGATAAGTATATGGTGCTTTGCTAACTATTTTAAAGACAAATTTTTTAAAAACAGAGGACTTTATGTAAAAAGCTTCCATAATCAGCATTATATTTCCTTTAAATGTAGTGAAAACATTTTTGGCTGTAGCATCCTCTGCTGACTGGATTTATTGAAAAGCTAAGTTTAGTTTTTTGGCAGTCTTTTATTTATTTTGTTTAATGCTGCACCCTTTCTTTGTGTACCAAGACATCACATCTGGTGCAGATCTGAGATTGCACTCTGAAATAGCATATATAATTTTCTGCGTTAACATAAACTTGGTTGCAAGAATCATTAAGTTTCAATAAAAGAATGAAGATATATTCAAGCTCTAAAAGAAGGTATAAAAAGCAACACCTCTGTCCTAGACAAATTCTTAAAAAAAAAATTGAGATGATACATTTTCCTATGTTAAGGAATATATATGTGTCTTTGTCTGGACATCTGTAGGGTTGGGGGGAAGGGAACCTACGGTAAAATTATTTTCTTTCCTAATGGTGGAAATGACTCCCATCAAGCAAATACTGTGTTAGGTTTTTGTCTGATAATGAATTTGTGAATTATATCTTTGGTATATCTTTTATTAAAATGCACTGTTTAGTTTTAGCTGTGGTAAATCAGTAGTTACATATTTGAATAACTTGGTGTGTCCTGAATGTTGTGGTATTGAAAAACATTGTGGTCTTTCTAAACTAATGAAGTGCAAATAAAATTTTGTATTTATGAATGACAGTGGAACTGCACCTGTTATTAGAATGACAAGTATCAAATTATGGTTAAAAGGTAGAATCTGGACTACGGAATACTACTTGTTTTAATTTTGTTATGATGTCATTTTCAGTTGGACAGTTCCTTTAGGTGTAGTTGGAAGAGCAGCAGATGTTAGTTGTTCACCTTGATCACTGCTTTGTTGTGAGAGTAGCTGATGACCTAGCCCAGCTGATACCTTCAAATAGCATGTGACTGCTTGTCATGCTATCTTAGCAGGTGGTCACCAAACTATTAATTGCACTGGCAACACAAGTATGAACCAGTCTTTTTCACACTACAGCTTCTCTACTTCTCATTCTCTGGTGCTTGAACCCATTTTGTCACTTTTGCCACTCTTCTAGCCAGAACACTGGCACTGACCAATAAGGTATACCACTGACTTAAACAGCTTCTGTCTGTTTTCTGTAATGAAAAAAGACACAACCAACTGTTAGTGTTAGGGAAAAAAAAAAAAAAAAGCGCCCTTATTTCACTGACTAAGCTCTGACATTCTGAATACAATACCATGCAGGTCTTTAGCACACCTGAATTCCAACTGACAAATTAAGTAAGCATGGTTGATATTTGTGCTTATGTCTTCTGCCACCTTGTGCCTAAACGGTTTGCTTTTTAATGTAGTAAACTTACAGTTTACTATCATATTGGTAAGATAAAATCAATTTCTAAAGCACTTGTAGGATTTCTGATGGTACTGTGGGCAATATCAAGGAAGGGAAAAATATGGAAAATGAGTTTTAACTTGACAACCATTTTATTTTAGCCGATTTGTTTTTATTTGTACTTAGAAACTTGTGATTTTTTTTTTCCTGCAGTTTTTGAATTTAATAAAAATTAAGAAATTTGACTTAGATAAACTTTCTTTTTGTAATTTTGTGCTGTTTGTATATAGGTAGATTGGGATCCCAGTCTCTTGTACCAAAAATTAAAAATTATTGTATTTGAGAAAGACATATTTATGTAAGAGTGCTTGAATGTATTTGATTATTCATTGGAAATCATAAAAAGTTCAGGAAACCTGTTTGCTTTGTATCCATTATACTATGAGACTGAAGATGGTTTTGTCTCCTAATTTTATCTCTGGAACTTTTATATGAGTCAAAAAAAGTTAATTTATGTCCTTGCTGTACCTACCAGGCATTTGCAGTGTGGCATGGAAAGATGGGTGGGGAAAAAAAAAGCTATTCTAACTGCTCCATTGCCTCACATGGAAGTTCAGCAGTCAGCCCAGCCTTTGTTGACATCTAATGAAGGACCATTTGAACAGTCTGCACAACCGTTGAGATCACAGGATGAAAAAAAGGGAAGATGAGCACTAGCTGCAGCTTTAAGTCTGTTCTAACTTGTGTTTGCAGATCACTGTTCTTCAGGGGCCCTGGTTAAGGGTAGCCCATTCCCAAGCTTCAGGGAGTGTGTGGGGGTTGTTTCCTTCAAAGCTCAACATGGTTTACCACTAAACTTATCAGATGCTGCCAAGGTCCTCTAGTCCCTGGCAGTTTCTTCATGCTGGAGAAAATACACAGGAGCATCTTTTGATAAGCAAGCATGGCAAGCAGGAATCACAGGAGTGTCAGAAGTAGCATAGTAACATCTGCTCCAAAGTAGTGGTGGTTTCTTGACTTTCATGAAATAATGGTAGATAGATCATGGCCATTGAATGGTGGTTTGCCGCTTATTTCAGTGTGGTTAGGATTTAATCCAGTGAATTGCTGAAATCACACAATTTCAGTGGTATGTTCAGTTAGCACTGCGTCTTGTACCAAAACCAAAGTTCGTATCTCTCAAAAGACTGACACAATATTTGATTGTGTTCATAAAGTTTTAGATCTGCCTATAATGGACATTCAACTAGTGGGTTGAGTTAACAGATAACTTCTTCATACAGGAACAGGAGGAAAGTAGGAAGACTGGAATTTTCTCTTTTGCATAATAGCAAGTCATGATACGGAAAAAGCTGAAAACCACTGGCTTACCAGGACATCTTAAATTATGCATTGTTGTGCTGTGTACACTAAAGGAATAGTGACAGTCACATCTTCCTTTGACCAGATGTTCTCCTTCTTCAAAGCAGAGATACACAACTAACGTCAGCATTTGATACTTCTGATAGAGGATGAGAAGATGGTAAAAAAAAGGAGTGAAAGTTAAAGGTCAGGACATGGTGACTTGCTAAAGCAGATTTAGGGCTGCATGTTTGTGCCCCTGTTGGAGATACCAGCATTCCCTCATTTTTAGAATCATGGACTTGTTTAGGTAGGAGAAGACCTTTAAGATAGAGTCCAGATGTTAACCTAACACTGCCAAGTCCACCACTAAACCACGTCCTATGCACATCTACATGTCTTTTAAATACCTCCACAGATGGTGACTCAACCACTCCCCTGGGCAGCCTCTTCCAATGCTTGACAACCCTTTCAGTGAAGATATTTTTCCTAATATCTAATCTAAACTTCCCCTGGTGCAACTTGAGGCCGTTTCCTCTCATCCTATCACTTGTTACTTGGGAGAAGAGACCAACACCCACCTCGCTACAACCTCCTTTCAGGTAGCTGTAGAGAGCAATAAGGTCTCCCCTCAGCCTCTTTTTCTTCAGCCTAAACAACCCCAGTTCCCTCAGCCGCTCCTCACAGGACTTGTGCTCCAGACCCTTCCCCAGCTTCGCTGCCCTTCTTTGGACACACTCCAGCACCCCAATGTCTTTCTTGTAGTGAAGGGCCCAAGACTGAACACAGGATTCAAGGTGCAGCCTCACCAGTGCCGAGTACAGGGGGACAATCACTAGCTGGTCCTGCTGGCCACACTGTTTCTGGTACAAGCCAAGATGCCATTGGCCTTCTTGGCCACCTTGGCACACTGCTGGCTCATACTCAGCCAGCTGTTGACCAACACCCCCAGGTCCTTTTCCACCAGGCAGCTTTCCAGCCACTCTGCCCCAAGCCTGTGGCATTGCATGGGGTTGTTGTGACCCAAGTGCAGGACCCGGCACTGAGCCTTGTTGAACCTCATACAATTGGCCTTGGTGCATCAATCCAGACTGTCCAGATCCCTCTGTAGAGCCTCCCTACTCTCAAGCAGATCAACACTGCCACCCAACTTGGTGTCTTCCGCAAATTTACTGAGGGTGTACTCGATCCCCTCATCCAGATTGTTGATAAAGAAATTAAGCAGAACTGGCCCCAAAACAGCCCTGCAGAACACCACTTGTGACCAGCTTCCAACTGGATTTAGCTTCATTCACCGCAACTCTTTGGGCCTGGCCATCCAGCCAATTTTTTACCCAGCAAAGTGTTCAACCGTCCAAGCCATGAGCAGCCAGTTTCTCCAGGAGGATGCTGTGGGAAATGGTGTCAAAGGCTTTACTACAGTCTAGGTAGACAACATCCACAGCCTTTGCCTCATACACTGAGCGGGTCACCTTGTCACAGAAGGAGACTGAGTTAGTCAAGCAGGACCTGCCTTTCATAAATCCATGCTGACTGGGCCTGATTGTTTGTCCTCTACATGCTGTGTGATAGCTCTCAAGATGATCTGCTCCATAACCTTCCCTGGCACCAAAGTCAGACTGACAGGCCTGGAGCTCCCCAGATCCTCCTTGCAGCCCTTCTTGTAAATGGGCATCACATTTGCTCACTTCCAGTTGACTGGGACCTCCCCAGTTAGCCAGGACTGCTGATAAATGATTGAAAGTGGCTTGGTGAGCACTTCCACCAGCTCCCTTAGCACCCTTGGGTGAACGCCATCCTGCCCCATGGACTTGTGTGTGTCTAAGTGGTGTAGCAGGCTGCTGATCATTTCCCCTTGGGTCACAGGGGCTTCATTCTGCTCCCCATCCCTGTGTTCCAGCTCAGGGGTCTGGGTACCCTGGGAACAACTGGTCTTACTATTAATGATTTAGGCAAAGAATGCATTAAGTACCTCAGACTTTTCCCCATCCTTTGTCCCTATGTTTCCACTCCCATCCACTAAAGAATGGAGATTCTCCTTTGCCCTCCTTTTGTTATTAATGTATTTATAGAAACTTTTTTTATTGTCTTTTATGGTAGTAGCCAGATTAAGTTCTGGTTGGTCTTTGGCTCTTCTAATTTTCTCCCTGCATTACCTCATGACATCCCTGTAGTCCTCCTGAGTTTCTTGCCCCTTCTTCCAAAGGTGATAAACTCTGATTTCCTTCCAGAGTTCCAGCCAAAGCTCTCTGTTCAGCCAGGCTGGTCTTCCCCTCTGGCTTTTCTTTCTGCACATGAGGACAGGCTGCTCCTGTGCCTTTAAGATTTCCTTTTTGAAGGATGTCCAGCCTCCCTGAACTCCTTTGCCCTTCAGAACTGCCTCCCAAGGGACTCTGCCAACCAGAGGTTAATTTAATTTCATTTAACCTGTTATTTATGTCACCGCACTGAAAGGGCAACAATTTCTGGCAGCAAAGGCTTTGCCTTAATTGATTTGCCTTTTTATCATTATTATTTGTGAAAGTGATATTGTAAACTGATGATTACTTAGAGTGCTGGATTTAAGCAGGATTGGGCATTTGGTAGGTCTTTCTAACTTGGTTAAGGATTTCTAGTTAATCCAGTTGGATTTGGAAGCCAATGGTTGTTTTACAGATTAGTGCTATCGTTTGTCTAAATGGTGCTGCTCTGTTACTAGCTGTCAGTGCTAGCATCAGCTCTGTGAGCTTTGTGTTCCACACCTCTACCCTTCTGTGTGTCAAAATCCCACTGAGATAGGAAGATTTATAGCAGGTACCTTTCTGAGGTGGGAAGGAAAGCAAGGTATGTAGGAAAAGGGGAACAGAGCAGACAAGCTAATAAAGAAAGAATGTGAAGAAAAACCTTTTCTAGAAGGGGAATGGGGAATGAAACCCATTTCCAGGTTTGTCATTTTCCTGTGCTGGGGGTTCATTCACATGAGTTCATCTCTGCAGTTTGTGAAAGACAAAAAGAAACTGCACCAACCAGCATGAAT